GTGAGTCCAAAAGTAAACAGTAACTATTCGATTTATAAGTATGTAGAAATCTCTGAACGAGAGACCAAAACAGTTAAAGTTTGAGACATTTGAACACGCGGCTCTGGAAATAAAAGAAAACATAGAAGATATTATGGTTATCAGAAACGATATAGAAAGTCTACACTCACAGTTAATGCTCCAAATATAAACATATTATGATGTGAATAATCTGTCACAGACCTATTATGATACACACACGGTACAGAGATGACGATCAGCCTCAGCTGTGCAGATCAGTTCACGTCTTTGTTTCACTTTAACTCTAAAAGGTCCTCATGTTTTCACTTCATGTGATGTTGTTGATGCAAAGAAGACTCAGCCTGATAGTTAATGCTCATGACCAATGTCTGAGCCACATGCTGTGTGTGTGTGTGTGTGTGTGTGTGTGTGTGTGTGTATTACAACATGTGTCACTGGCTCAAGCTGCCAAATTCCCAGTTAATGCCAAGATTAATTATGAGCATGTTGTCCAAATGGGGATGAAAACTGACATGACATGTGCGGTAATCACATTACACAGTCAGACGGCCGCGTCCGTCCGCACACTGCAGGTTCGGCTGCAGATGGATGGATAAATCCTGCATGTTTGACATGAGCTGAGCTGCAGCCGCTGCCCTGCAGGTCTCAACGCTCAGAAATGTCCATGAGGATGTTGACAGGACTTCGACGACTTAAATCCAAAACCTGCAAAAACAGACAGAAGCAGGCAGAAATGTTAGGATGGTTTCAGGAAACAGGACGAGTACAAGTTATAATAATAATAATAATAATAATAATAATGATGCATCAGATTTCATAGAGCGCTTTAACCCTCAAAGCGCGTTACATTGGATACATCATTCATCCGCTCACACAGTCACACCCTGGTGGTGGTAAACTAAAGTAGTAGTCACAGACTGACGGAAACATGGCTGCCAACCACCACCACACAACACTCACAATCACACACCAGTGGAGGACACACACTGGGAGTAAGGTGGGTTAAGTGTCTTACCCAAGGACATAACGGACAGACTTGAGATAGAGGGAAACGAACCGCCAACCTTCCAGTTGTTTGACGACCGCTCTACCTCCTGAGCTACTGCCACCTGAAGTACAACCTCAGCTGCAAACAAGCTTACCTGTTATTATTATTGTTATTATTATTGATTATTGATGTAAAAATTGACATTCAGAGAGGCTGAGTCTGTGAGGAGGAAAGATGGAAGAGGTTCATCACTCTGTGAGAGACTGTGTGAGCTTAAAGTTCAACAGTTTCAGAATCTACAGATCAGATCATTCAGAGATTCAGAGGATCTGGAGAAATCTCTGTACTAAAGGGGGACAAGGACCAGAACCAGGACTGGGAATCAACGCATAGAAAGGACAAATGGACTTAGTTGTAGTCAACTAATTAGAGACCAAATAAGACCTTTTGTCCAAAGTCTTAGACCACTCTGCTCTTCTTCTTCAAACTGCTGCGTTTTGAGCCGTCACTTTAACCCCCAATTTTCACCGCATCTGGAACGGCTCCGATCCGGAATGGCAGCAATTTTTGCCGTCTGCCAATTCCTACCGGATCTGTTGGTGAAGTGAACTTCATGGTGGATTACAGACAGTGGGAATCTCAAGAACTCACAAGAACCCTCAGATTCACGTTCAATCGCTCGATAACGAGTTGTCTCTCTAAAGACAGACACATAGACATATAAGCAGTAGATTGTGTCCTTCCAGAGGAGGAAATCTACTTCTAGACTTCTAGAATCAGCATCTCCTCATCCATGGTGTCATCAGGGTGAAATGACGTCTAAAAACCTTTCACTTGTTCGTCTCCGCCCGTTTGCATGGTGTGAAATACGATCCTCCTGAAACACGTGTGAGTGTTTTATTTTGAAAAGAAGCCGGATGTTTTATTTTGTGTCTGTGCCCGACTTCCTTTCCAGCACGGGTTAATCTGTGCTGAATTTATCCGCCATGCTCCGGCGTCCAGAAAAAATAGAACTCTTGTGATCAGCTGAGGAGTCCGGCGATCCGCAGAGGAACAGAAAGAAGTCGGTGTAAATTGACACGTTAACTTGAATGGTTACGATCAGCTACGATCGGAGGATACGACCTTTTAGGAGACGATCAGGATGAAGGTGGAAACTGGGGGTAACTTTTTACAAAGAGGTGTGTGTTACTCATTTAGAATAACTGTGAATAATATTGCCACAGTAGCCAATGAGAAGCAAGTGTAATGTAGTCTGTGGCAGGAGTTTGGTTTTATGTTTCACTGTCATAGCCTGCTGTTACATTAGACACACACACACACACTGGACAAAGCCTCTCCTTTGTTTTGTGTGGTCCACAATGGTACAACAGTGTGTCTTGACTCCACAGTGTGTGTGTGTGTGTGTTGGCTCTGCAGTAACAGAGGACACCATTAAGGGATAAAGTGTGTGTTATTAAACAATCGTTCCCTCTGTCAGCTGACTCGGCGTCAGTCCGGTGAATCAGCGTGTTGGAGCTTTAACAACGTGGGCCTGTCTCTCTCTCTCTCTCTCTCTCTCTCTCTCTCTCTCTCTCTCTCTCTCTCCCTCTCCCTCTCTCTCGGCTCGATAGCTCAGTGTCTTCTTTAGAAATTTAGTGTTTGTCGTTTTAAGTTTTCTGTGAGAGGGCTTCCTGGACGATCTTCAAAGTTTAAAACTAACCTTTGTGAAAATGAACATTACTTTGAATTTAAGGCTACTTTATTCCTCCCACAGTATCAAAGTGCATTAGTAATGCAGGATTGGACCTTGGTCACATCAGCTATCACGTTTACGGTGCTGTAAATGTGGTTGTGTATTTCATGCTCAGGGATTTCTTTTCACACTCCACATGTATAAGTTACCTTCATCATGAGCAATCGTGGATTCCTTTACAACCACAAACACTGACCTTTGAACTGGGCTGCAGGTTGTTCATCTTCACCCCTGACTTTCAAATAGAACACCAGATTTTGATTGGTCAGACTCCTCCTCTCCTGACGACACTGTTGAACTGTTAGCTCACGCAGTCTCTCACAGAGTGGTGACCCTCGTATCGTCTTTCCTTCTGAGAGACTCGGCCTCTCTGACTGTCCGTCTTAAACCCAGTCAGGTTTTATGATTCTTTACATGTAATTAGTTTTTTTTTGGTGCTTTAAAAGGAGTTGAACACCACAGCATCTATTAAGAGACAGCCTTCTTATAAAAAGAGCTTCACAACTGTGTGTACATGATGAACAGAGGAGACCGTACAAATATAAACTTACATCTCAGCCATCCTTCATTAAAACTTCAGGGTTAGGTCTGAATTTTAGCCCTAAACAACAGTAATAATCAAAGACTGACACAGCTTTTTTAGTCTCAGTCTCAGCTGTAGAATTTAACATGGGGCTCCATGGTGATTGATCGTTCTCTAGTGGACACTTGAAGAACTGCAGCTTTTGGCTTTGGCTGCAGTTTTCAATGACAGAAGTTCTCAGAGTTTTAATATTGTTTTTATTTAAAACGTAATAATAAAAATTTATTTTAATAATAATAATAATCAATAATACGCTCTATAATAGCATTTGCAGTAAATGAAAAGATAAATAGATACAGTTTACTGTTTAAACAATATCTAGAGATGCAACAGCAGGTCTTTGGTGGTCAAAAAGAAAAAGACTTTATATCATTCCCACCACTCACCACATGGTGGCAGCAACAGACCCGTCATTTCTTGGTGGGAGAAGACAGCATTATTTCTTTCAATGTAATGTTTGAATTTGCCACAATTTATCCTGTTCAGAAGAAAAATGTAAGATTAAAATTATGAAAAGAAATAAGCGTAATATAACTCCCACTTTAATGCTACAAGCTGTGGTTGATAAATAATGGAACATGTTAAAATGTGAAAAGGTGTGGTTTGATTGTTGAGACTTAAACAGACTTTTAACATGAGCGCTCGTGTTTATCTATAAAAGTTGTCACCCAAAGGCGTATTTAACTTTGGGGTTTTCACATCTGTCTTAGCAGTAAATATCAATCACTGTGTCAATGAAATTAAAGCTGACTCAATGTGATATTCGGAAAATTTACGTCAAATTAAAGCATACAGGTGCAGAATTGAGGAAAAGGCAGCCAATAAATGATCTCTTTTTGTAAATGGATAAACACAAATACCAAATAATCAAATTCTGAATGACAGTCATTTTAAAATATAAGACAGTGATTCTTGTGACCCTGTGATATCTCAGTGGAGGACCACACTGATTTGACTAAAGGACATTAGCATGACCGTCTCTCCCTTCTTTTAGTTTATATAAAGTTAGTAATGATCACACATTGATAGTCCTCAGAGTATGTAGCCCAGTGGTACAAAGGTGTATATTTGTTTTATATTATAGACACTTTTCAACTAAAAAAATGCAAAGAAAACTAAATTTTACAAGCAAACCTTTGCTTGAATTGTAGTGATTCAGTCCACTTTGTTCCAAACTGGAATATCTTAGAATAACTTTATTTATCCTTGAAGAGAAGTTCAATATTACATTATAATATTCAATGTTCAATATTACACCTACTTCATGGATTGTACATTTGTGTTGTTTTCAGGATGAGGAATTAAAGTGGTAATCCTCTGACTTTTTGCTTTTGTGCTGAATTCTGATCTTCCCTGAGTGGTATTCAGTTTAGCATAATTTAGGGATGAACTGTGTAAGTAAACATACTGAGTGATGGTCTTGATTGTCCCATGTATCCTGTTGGACACCCCCAGAAATTACTCATTTTACATTCAACTCATGAACAAAATAGTTACTGAGGGGATAAATAACTGAGTGTAGAAGTGTAAATATTCTCTTTCTTTTTTGCTGTCACTATAGTTGATGTTTCCTGGCCATCAGAGAGGATGTGGGACTTCTTCAGTCTACTAACTTACATATGTTGTGATTTAAGAGTGTGAGGATATCGCCCCAAAAAAGGACAAAGTACAAGTGCAGATACAGACGTGTTTATTCATGAACAGACCTCCTGTGTACAATCAGATAAATCAAATAACCCTCTCATAGACTTCCTCACTAATACATCCACAGGCCCAACCTTGGATAATGACCTCATGTTAGCAGGAAAAGTCTCACTTCCTACCAGATCTTAACAGAGTACAGGCTACTCTTTCCAACAGTCCACAGTCCCTGAGTGTCAAATAACAGAGTTTACCATGTCAAGAACTTAGTAACCCTCAAAGACATGTAGCATGTATGATTTAAAACAAACAGGTGCTGGAACAGAAATTCATTGATTATTGATTTCTGTTTATCTAAAAGAGAGAGAGAGAGAGAAATAAAACAGTTAGAGGAATAAATGCAGTTATTCAGATATTCTTTGTTTTAAGGTTTCCAAAAACAAACTTCATATCAGAGAGATAATATCAAAATGATAAGATGCTCATAACCTAATGTCTACAAGATAAAGTAAGACTGAAAACACATGTGATTATAAAGAATAAAAACAATGTAAATGTCCATGTTGTGGTGATTATTAAGGATGATCTTCTCTTGTCTCAATACTAGCTGTAAAAAGTATTCTTCATGTTCTTTAATTTGGTTAATACATATATACTGATTATAGTATAGGGGCGAAGGGAAGCAAGGAAGGAGTGGATGGCAGGGCAAAATTAAGATGTAGAAATACTCAAATAATAATTAAAAAAACAAGAATAAACAACAGACCACAACAACGAGCAGAGTGGGAGACAGCTAGAACAAAGAGATTTCCATCAAAGGGGTGAGGGCAGCGGGTGACACCAAATCAACAAACAATCAAAACCAAAACTCTTACCTAACTGGCAGGCCCTGACCTAGTTTAGACAAAATAAAAACAAACCAAATCCACCTGCCTAACTAACCTGAACTGACCTGCCAAACAAAAATACAATCGAGGTTCCACCCAGAACTTGAAAAAATCTAACAAAGGAGGACGACCTCTTAAACCCAAAAGAAACCACAGGAAACAAAAACCTAACACCTAGTGCCCAAAGAAAATCACCCCAACCCCTAACTAGTGTCTCAGTGTATCTAGGTAACAATACAACAAAATACCGATGCTACCATACCAAACATCTATGAGACACACACAACAAATCTAACTAAGCTGCCTCCTCACTCTGAAGTTTTTCGGTCACTCCTCTAGTTTCTGGAGCGGAGGTTTTTGTGATCGATGATTGGTGGATGCTGACAGTGAGTGGGGAGGAACACCAATCAGTACGTCCCCTGTCGACAGCAGCAAAGATCTTCTATCCAAATGACGATCACTCACTCCTCTACCAGCTGGGTAACTCTGAACAAGGAAAAATAAGAAAACACACACAAGGAAAAAAAAAACTACCATATCTAAGGAACCATAACAAGAGGATGTGGTTAGTCTCCGATGAGTTGATCAGGATATATAGAAAATGTTTAACCCCCCTGTTAGACGGGGGACTCTGCTGCTTGTTCTGGTTTTATGAGTGGAAATAAAAACAGAAACAGAGATGAAATCAAAGTATTTTTCTAACTTACTTGACATTTATGTTGAGCGATATAACAACAACATATAGAGGGGAAAGACCTCAGTGAACTGGTCTCATCTCACCATCTCAGTGTAGCAGCAGGTTGTCACCAACGCACTGTCACTCAGAGCTCAATCATAAATCATTACATTAATAACCTGAGAAATCTAAATTTAATTTATTGGATCGGCTTCTGTTTAATTGCTGCTGAATGAAGGTTATCATGCATATAACAGCTTATGCACAGCTGCAATTCCATTCACAGTGCACACCTCTGAGCATTTAACCAACAATAAACCAACAAGTTTTGCTGAGTAGCTAAGTGACCAAATTAAAATCAAACAGCAAGTACAATCACAAAGCAAACATCTGTATGCATGATCTAATGATAGTCAGTGACCAACATTGCCTTACAAGTTATTCTGTTCCCCAGATATTCACTGATTCCAGGTTTATGGTCAATGGTTAGGATTTTTTTCTGTTGTTGTGAGAATCACCGTTATTATCTCCTTAGTATCTGAGCCTGTTTTGGTAAAGCTGATTCAGGTTCATTATTTGCCTGTGACGTAGTTCCAAATCTTCAACCCAAGACTTGTCTTTTTGTCTGTTGTCTGTTTTGTCTGTTCTGTGTTTCTCTGTAGAAGTGTCTCTCCTCCTTCTACTCGAGCTATGATCTGAGCTTTTCCCTTCATCTCCATCAGGGTTTGAACCCGTGTCATCCAGCCTGGTTTGGCCTCACTTTTCTCTCCTTCAATGAGCATGTCGATGTACTCTGGAGAAAAGAGAGGATTTGGCCTCAGTGCGATCTCTTTCAGTCTGTTGATACACCTTGTGGATTCATCCATCAGCCTCTGCACCTCAGCCTGCACCTCATCATATTCAGCATTCAGTTTTTTAATCAGAGCTTCGAGAGGTGACTTGGCCACTTTAGCGATGTCATACTTTTTTTTCAGTTCTTCAACTGTTTTTGTTTCTGTAACGTTCCTGTACTCCCATTTGTACTTCTGATTAAAATGAACACTCCAGATACATTTACCTGGACACACTCTGCAGTATCCATCAGGTCCCACTGCAGAACACTTAATTTTGTCTTTATCTGCTGTGCAAAAACAGTTATCATGACAGGTGAAATCACACTGTTGACAGTTGAACAGGTATCCTCCACCAGTTTGGTGGATCTGGAAAGGCTTTATAATGTTGACTTCAAACGTGAAGTCCTTATTTCTGTTGATCTCTGCCTCGTGTTCTTTCAGTTTTTCAGTTGTCTCTTTTATCTCTTCAAGCTTGGCTAGGCCAACTTTAACCTGCTTCTGCAGACCTTCAACTGAGGTTTCCAGCTGCTGTCTTTCTGTGAGGACCTCCTTTGTTAAAGTCAAGCTTTTGGTGTCCATTAGATTTACAGCAGTAAAGAACCTCTTCATGCTCATTGCCCCCATGTTCCAAAACATCTTGCCAAAGCTTTCAGCCTCTCCACCTTCTCCCATGTCTGCTGTAGGTGATTTGTTGTCTGCAAACCAGGCTGAGTTGTTGAATTTGCAGTGATTCAGCTGCCCCTCCTTTGTTTTAGGACACGGGACATCCGCAGCCTTGATTGCCTCAAGAAGCGGTGGGGGTTGACCATCTGAAAATGTCACCAGAATCCTGATGTTTTCTTCAATGTCCTTTCCAAAGATTGAGAGCACAGAATCAAAGATGTATTTCTGTGACGTTGTGAGTCGAGCCAAAGCAGCCTGAACTACAAAACCCACGGCGTCAATTTCTCTGACTCCACGTTCAGAAGAAAAGAGATTACGCAGCTGATCTACAATCTCTCTGTCTCTCTTTATGCCTCTGGTATCCCCAAATCCGGGGGTGTCGATGAGGGTCAGTGAGTAATCTATCATAAAGCCATCCTGATGATAGATTTTGTACACCGTCACTTCAGAAGTCTGGCTTTCAGCTTGTGATCTTGTTTGCACCTCATCAATGATCTTAAATCTCAAACTGTCATTCCAGTTCACACCCAGGATGTAGTTGATCATCCCATTGATCAGAGTGGACTTTCCTGATCCAGTGGCTCCAAGAAGCATCACTGTGCGGTTTTCCTTCATGCTTTCTTTACCAAAACTAAACCCCCGACATCCATTTATGTTCATCCTCTCTTTTTTCAGTGGCAGTTGGTAAACTGAGGGGGATGCAGAACTGATCTTTTTGCTCTTCTTTTTGAGAGTATCAGTAAGACTTAGTTTTGTTGTGCTGGGTTCTGGGGTGGAGTTCAAACTCGTTGATATCTTACTTTGGTTTGGTCTAACTTCTGGTTTTTCAGGTGAGGTTTTAATGGGATCACTAACTTCATTGGCTGGTCCAACACCCACTGAGGTCACTGCTCTGCACCTGAACATGTACTCTGTGTTTGGGCTCAGGTTGCCCACGGTGACTTCTCCAGCTTTAGTTGCTGTCTGTTGTTTCCATCCTTCTTCTCCTCGGACACAGTACTCAACAGAGTAGGAGGTGATGTTTTCTGCTCCAGACTTTGGTGGATCAATCTTCAGTGTGACGCTGTTGTGGTTTGTGTTGCTCAATGTCACATCTTCAGGCTTTGAAGGCAGCTCAAAGTTCTCACTGACAGTAAAGCCACCTTCATAAAGATAGATACTTGAACCTCTCTGTGTCTCATTTGCGATGGCAGCTATCAGGAACTTGATGTTCTTGTTCTCCTGGTTGGCTGCTGCAAAGTCACTGAAAAGCTTTGCTTTTGCCCTCATTGAATTTACTATCTCTCTTGAAGCATACCACTGTTCCTTCTCCAGAATACGGGGATCTTGAGAGGTTTCTGGCTCTGGGTTTTTTCTTAAGTAGTTTGTTAAATCCAGGAGGAACGGTTCATCACTTCCCAGTGAGGTGAAGACAAAGCACACAGCATGCTTTGCTTTTTGGATTTCTTTGTACAGGTGGTTTTCAGATTTTACAATTATGAGGTTTTTCATTGTGTCAGTCACAGACATTAATGTATAGATTTCTTTCTCTTTACAATCCATCCACTCATTCAGCCTTTCACTGTTGAAAGGAGAAGAACGCCCCCTCTTCAGGATCTCTGCCAGTACAGCCTCCTCCTCTCCTCCCCCTCGGATTGATGGGAGTGTCTTTGCCAATGATTGTTGGAATTCAAGTCTGAACACAGAGGACATCTCTTTGAAGGTTTTAATATTTTTGCTGATCTGTGGGAACTGCTGTGCTGGGGTGGTTCTCAATACATCATTGCATCTCATTTCCAGCTCACTGAGGTCCTCCAGGACACTCTGGGACTCCTGAACCAATCTTATACTGATCTGACATACAAGTCTGGCAGCAGAAGAATCTATAGCTGTCAGTGGCAGCAGCCAGATCTTCACTGGTACTGCATTTTCTCCATCGGCTCCCAGCAGTTCTGGCAGACTTTTGCAGACTTGAACTGCCTCCTGAAATGATGCTGGATTTTGTTTGAGAGAGAAATCTCCATGAAATTTGCAGGAGAACTTTTCAACGTTGGATATGTCCTTTTCCTCCAGTTCAAGTGCTCCCTTACCCTTTACAGCGAGGGCAGGAATCTTCTCTATAATCACCTTCAAGTTTCCTTCAACGTCATGATGATCCTCTTCTGAACAAACCTCACGATCAAAGATGAAGAAGGCTTGCGCTCCATAAAGGATCCCTGTGACCACATGTGTTGCCAGTCCTTTTTCAAAAACATCTGGATGCCTCACTTTTCCTGCTCCAAGATGATCCATTGACAGTTCCTGGAACTTTGTGGTTGTTTTGTACTTTAGTGTTACTCTGGCTTGGTTTTTAGAGGTCTTCTTATCATTCAAGTATTTGGCTGATCCTCCAACCTGAACAAGTCCACTCAAAAAACTTGCCCTCAGTGATGCTTCAACATTTAATGCTGAAGATTTGTCTTCAATGGATTCAGAGGCAACTATGTCAAACTCACTGTTAGGACTTGGTCTTTGCCTTGTAGATTTTCCCAAGTCTTCACAGTCCCACAGTGTGATGCCTGCAAAAGAAAGAAGTCGAGCTGCCTTTTAACACATGATAATTAACTTTTACAAAATACGAAACACTGAACATCTTGCATGGCCTCCTGGCTCTTTTTTTTTTCCCCCTTTTTTAGATTTTATCAAGCAGAAACTCAAAGTGTTTTTCTAACTTAGTTACCAGGGATGAGTGAATCTTGGCGGCAGTCGTACAGCATCCCTAAACTGAACGGTCGGCCGAGTGCCGCCACCTCCATTGTCTTGCTGGATCCAGGATCCATCTCTTCATCTGGACCAAAGGAAATAAAGTATGATGGTTCATATTAAGGACTGTATTGATATCAAACCGTCAGCCCCCCACAGTGGACAGTTTCTGTATTTACAATACAGAACAGCCATGAATTTTTCTTTTTTCCATGCACTGTTATCCCATGATAATGATTAATTATCTAATTATTGATATAACAATCTTTTTTTTCTCATAACAGAAAATTGTGTTTTAGCCGACCTCAACTGTAACTTTTAAAAAATGCCCCCCGGATGAGGATATTTCTGAAACACTGCAGCCACCGTTGTCAACCGCAAGTTGGACTTTTCAATAAAAATGTTGACATAATGCTCTATTTTGCACATGTGCATTACACTTAAAATGATTTGAGCATGGCAGTTTAATGGGCATGCGCAAAATGGAGTGTGCCGTCTGTCAGCTTTTTTCCTTGAGAAACTTGACTTGCAGTTCACCATGGTGTTTCAAAAATATCCTAATCTGGATCATAGCTGTCAATTATCCTGCCCGGCCGGAGAACTAATGTATTTTACCCCTCTTTCCTGCTGTTTTCCCATATAAGTCTCCCATACTTTAATATATGTATATAAAAAAAACATTAATCTGCCTCTCCAAACTGAACTCTGTCACTAGCATGCAAAGTACCCACCAACTAGTAGCAGTGAGTCACCCGTCCCGCTGCACTGATCCAAGAAAACAACTTTTATTATATCAAGGTAACGAGACGCCGTATCACAACATAACAGTGAATAAAAAATAAAGAACAATCCATGGCTGTTCTTGGCTTCCGTAACAGAATCAAACCCTAACCGTAGACACATTCACATATTTTATTTAAGTGACATAATTTGATGATTGATATTATTGAATTACACATCTGTTATCAAACTTATCACATTCATCCCACAGGCAGTGATATACTGTATATGTGGTGTGCTCTGAGTTTAAAGGACCCTGTGTCAAAAAAAATAAAAAAATAAAAAAAACTGTTAAAAAAAAAAACCTCTTTGAGAACTTGGTGGGGATAACATGGAGGCTGCACAAAGTTGGTTTAATGTTTGATGTAATTTCAGATAAAAAGGACACAGGAACATTGAAACAACGGTGGATTTCCCTGTTGACAGTTTGAGTAAAGTCAGGTGGGCTGATTCAAAGCTGGATTTGTAAAGGAAATGAAGATCTTATTTCACATAAGGAGGCAGTCTTGCGCTTCGGCTTGAACGCTATGCAGGATTGGTGAATCACAAAGTGGGACAGATAAGCTTGAGGGAGGGATCCCGAGCACAGGATGCGTTAAAGCTGTTTTATTTTAAAGTAGACTGACGTTTTGACACAACAGGTGTCTTCTTCAGAGTCAACTCTGAGTTGACTTGTTGCACATATCCTAGGAGATCAGGGGTCAGTCATAGACTCCTAAACTTTAAATAAAACTGGGGTTTCATCGCTGAAATTATAAATATTAACCGTAAATAATCTGCTTATGAGCATGTTCATTAGAAACAAGTTCGCGCTTAATCAGTATATGATTATGAGCTCTGCCACCCAGTCCGACGCAAGTTTACATACATGATTAAAAAGAGAAACCAGCTTCCTTATAATGCAGTTTTACCCTCATGCGTCATACGAGGAAACAGAAAGAGAGCACTGAGCTACTTTTACATTCCTAGATTAAACCACCTCACTACATTCTTTGCAAACTTAATTTTACACTGCATCTACACTGTAAACCTGGAGCATGCAACAGAAAATAAGGAAGGAATAAACAATAAATTTACTTACAGCAGACGTGTGTGTGAGATCATCTAAGGCTGTGCTGTAGTTCACGTTACAAGGTCTTAGAGAGAGGACCACCCCCAAATGTTTATTCATCTAAAGAGGCAGTACTTAAGAGAACCAGGCTGATTTCCCAGAAATGACACAACAGAGAGACTGGCTGGTCTAATGTGATAATAACTATAGTTACAATTAAAAAGTGAGAGCACAGGACTATAAAGGCAGTGGTTTGAATGCTGCCAACAGTGTTTCCTGAAAGTAAAACTTTGACCATACTACATCATCTAAAGCTCAGAGGTCAAAGGACACCTAAGGACTGAAGTTCACTGGTCATAGTTGGAGATAGTACCCTAACAAAAGGACCAACTGCTCCATAAAGACACAGGTGCCGGTCATTTCTACCACACTTAGCTAAGGCTCTTGGTGTGTGACATGATGACTTTTGTTATACCTCTGTTCTGTTACTACTTCAGTTCTAAGAATTATTCACCACACCAAATGGAAAACAAGATAGACATTCAAGATAAACAGTCATAGACGTCCGCCTGAGACTCAAAGTTGAGGCTCTAAATAGTCACTTTAACTCTTTCCCTATCCAGTCAGGTTTGTCTGAAAGAAACTTTGTCTTCTCTGGGTTGTGTTTCAACATTTTGTTCCATAAAATCAAAATAAGCAACAAACCAGAAATGATGTTTTACTGTAAGTATGAATATATGTATTTGGGAGTAGACTTTAGCTTTCCTGGCTGCAATAGTTCTCATATGCTGTTAGACATCAAAACATCTCTTGCTTTTATGCATATGCTTGTTTGAGACAAATAAAAATCCAAACAAATCATACTGTAGTACAGTCAATTCTTCCTTTACGATGACCTAACAGGAACAGGACTTCTTATCAGGACAGTGCAGGCACAGTGGCCAGGAAGTGTCAGGGGATTTTTGTCATGCCAAAAAGAAAACAAAAGATCAGGGGGGACCGTGCTTTTTCAGTGGTAGCTCCTTAGCTATGGAATGAGCTACCCACCCATACCAAAATGGCCCCACCCTGGATAATTCTAAATCTCTTTTAAAAACTCATTTTTACTCCTTGGCTTTTAATATTGCATGAGAGTTGTGTGGTCTCTGTCTTTTATTGCATTTCCAAATTTCCTAGTGTTTTATCTGGTTTAATATCTTTTTTTCTTTTTGCTTTTTTATCCTCTTAATTTACTGTATCTTAACTTTGTTTTATCTTTTTATATTTTGTCTGTTGTGCAGCACTTAAGTAACCTTTTTGTTTTTAAAATGTGCTATACAAATAAAAATGGATTGGATTGGATTGGATATTCAACAAGCTTTGCGAAAGGAAAAAACACGAATGCAAACAGCCACAACATGAACGCAAACACCAGAAGTAAACTTACAGCGGAATTAGAAATGGGTAAACTAGCGCCAGCATTTCTGATCGTTCTGAGATCATCTCAGTAAGCGACGGTTCATTTTATTTTATGCTAATCTGCTTTCTGTCTTGAGCTTGTCTGAAGCAGTCATTGGCTAAAGATAGTTTCATGGTGTTAGGCTAATGTTAGCCAGTCAGATGAATTTAAGTTTTGCCATTGGCAGCTACGATATTTGGCTGACATTTAAGCAAAAGTAAAAACACTGCTTTTTCGTTATTGTCAAGAAGTTACTGGAAATATTAATGCAAGGGATGCACAGTTGAGCCTCTAACTTATCGATGAGCAAACCAGCATGACCTGTAGCGTGTCACCTATAAAACAAAAGATTTCATTTTAAACATTTGAGTGATGAGGGACTTACTGGAAACCAAACAAGATTTCACTGAGCCTCCGCATCCTGAAAAGAAAACAGCAGTTATTAGGCCTGGCCAGGATCAGATCAGGGAATCAGATGCAGACCCCTGACTACCACTTAATAATAATAATAATAATAATAATAATAATAATAATAATAACTTTATTTATATAGCACCTTTAAAAACAGAAGTTTACAAAGTGCTTTGACAACAGTTGCAAGCACAGAACATCAGCACATGAAAATATAAACAAATAAAAACAAAAGCTCGGTTAAAAACAAAGCCTCTGAATTGAAGGCCAGTTTCATTTTTCATAAGAAACCCAGGCAATACAAGAACCCTACAAAATAAAATGGGACCATGAGGACCAAAATAAAAACATAAAATAGGTAAGAAGAAGAAGTCCCTTATTTCAAGATCTAAAACAATACAGGTCACAGACTCATGTTTGATAAAACACTAACAAGAGCAAAATTGCATTCCTGAGTATTTCTGCATTCACATCGTTGCGAATCTCTGGCAGACCCAAATGGCAGGTTTAGACACTGTAAGATCTTATGTCATAAATCTAAGCTCCACCTCCCGGAGCCCCGCTATGCAGGCCAGACACTGAGAAGTAAAGAGGACAAAAGCAGAACAAGTGTGTGCGCTAGCAGATTGAAATGCTTGTTAGAAAGCTAATTATGGTATTAGCTTTCATCATGTCCCCAAAGACATTAGTGTCCGAGAGATGAATAGCTCCTACGTTACCTGCTTCTTCCACTCTAACAGCAATGTTAGGCTACAAGCTAGCGTGACAAGGAGTGTGCAGAGCAGCGCTGTCTCTGCCCACAACTCAGAGGTAAATTGCTCATGAGCTACTGGAGCTCTGCAGAAGAAAAGCCTTTGAAAACGACACAGATAATGTGATTTTGGCTAAAAACTTCATAATCACAACTTAAAGACCACTGACGACACTTTAAGTAGTCAAAAATAAAACGATCCAAGTGGGACTTTGAAGTACAGATATCAACAAACATGACTTTATCTCAACATATTCTCCTCCCATAAAGATACATAATACTTAAAGAAGCAGACTAAAAACACCCTGCCACGCTGATCTTAAGCAGGAAACAGTTCTGCTCTCACCTTCCTGTTTGTGACTCCCAAGTGTGTCATTCAAACTTGCGTATTTTGCTTTGAACACAGTACATTAATCCTCCTCTAAACAGTATTCATGATTGATTCATTCTCTTTATATAGCATAATTCATGGTTCAGTCATTCAGTCCTTACTCAAACTGTTATAAACCCATTTGATCCCTCAGCCCCTGTTCAATCACTGGTGTTCATCCTCCATTCCTTACACCCTAACGAAGTTTCTCCTCTTCACTCACTAACTCACTCAATGTTGCAAAGTGTTTTACAGGCTCAATCTTATCTTCAAGCTGTTTGTAAATATCATGAAGAATATGGCAGAACAGCTCGCTTAAGGGGTCCTGATCTAATACCTGTGCAGAATGCTCTTTCCACCTTATTCCTGAAGGTCTGTCTGTATTTACGATTATGGGTAACATTTTCGGTAATATTACAGAAATATGATAAAGTTGGTTTCTCATAGCCACTTAATCTGAGTGACTGAGCATTGATAGTAATTGTATCTTAAATATGTTACTCTGCCTTGTTTTTAATGTACACTTTTTATTTTTATTGAGTGTCACATATTTGAAAATAGCCCTGGTTGAACTCCTAACCAGCGAAAGATGAATTTATGGCTTGAGGAGCAGTGCTGAGGGAACCCATTAGAAATATACCTCCGTTAAAAAACTGCCTGTTCTACAAACGCACAGGAAGGAAACATGATGTAACACAAAAACTGCAGAGTTGGTAACGCCACACCTAGAATTGGAAATACCAAACATGAAACTTGTGCTTTCACTTCTCTGAATATGCGAAGGGGAGTGGTGCTGCACAGTAAGTGTAAGCTGAAGGTCGTCCTGTTGACTGAAAGTAAACAGTAAGTGAAGATAAGGCAAAATACAATTTTCTATCTCACTTTAATCTCAAATCAAGAGGACTTTATTCTCCAAAAACATCACATCTTCATTCTCATCGAATCAAGACTGGATTCTCATGAAATATTGGCTTTAATTCCACAAAATAATGACCCTATTCTCAGTACATCATTTTATTTTCAAACCATAATGCCCTAGTTCTCTGTTGTGATTGTGAGCAGTTCATCGTTTCAGCCTAAAGCAGGGATGATTTTGGGTCTGATTCCCTCTTCTAACAAAAGTCAGTAAAGGTTCCATTATCAGATTATCCTGTCCAGCTAACCCCATCAGCAGTAACATCCTCCCTGCCTGCTCTGTATTGGCACTGTCAGAATAAAACCTCTGCACTGACGACCTCTAGTGGATGATACAACACACTGCATCAAACACAAAACCTCTTTCTTAGTGTTCACATCTCAGCTGTGTTTTCTTACAGAAAAGTGTTGACTTCTATCTAATAAATTAGTTTATGCGTAAATTACATGATGTAGAGTGGGGCCGATAATAACACTTTATTAGAAAAGTAGAAAAGTTAATGCACAGCTCTAAACACCCTGAACTGAGACCTTTAAGACCAGGGAGGTCAGCTGTGACAGGAAAATCAAGGATGAAAATTAAACAGTGGGACTAAATAAGAAATCACCAAAAAGATGATAAAACAATACATGATATGAAGAAATGGATAAAGGAATAACACTAAGAAGAAGACGGCATCACATGAAAGCAAACCTATCGCAGAGATTTTAAAGACAGCACTGATTCTGTAAGCCTTGGGTCAGGGGCTCTGATGGTAAAGGCTTGACCTCTTAAGGATTTAAATCTCACCTTTCGAACAAAAAGAAGGTTCCCACTCCTTAAATAGTGGTAGAACCATTAGCATAACGTTTATGGGCGTTTTGAAGCCATCATCATTTAGGCACTACTGACTCAACTGGACTTGTGGTCGACCTACCAGAGGTAGCAGCGCTGAGGTTGGGCCACCCCAGCCAAATAGGTCTGGACATTTGTTAGCATGTACCTCACCCTGAGTATGTTATTTCAACAACTGATAGATGAATGCTAAACAATGGACTCTGCTGATGGAAGGCGCTTCTATATCTTCTCCCAAGTTGGACTCAATTAAGAGTTTAGGGGTTGTCACAAATCCAGTCTGAAGGTCCATAGATTCTTTTGTCAAGGTCGAAGTGAGACAGTATTGTTTTGATTAGTCAATGATGGTATCGTATTTGGATACGGCATGCAAGTATCAATACTTTTCAAAGTATCAATACTTTTGAG